ATGTTATTATCTCATAGTGATTAGGGATCTCTTAGGGATTTGAATAAAAGTGATCATTTGGGTTTGTCTTATCAGGGTGAAACCAGACTCGGCAGAGAAAGTTAATATATAAATAAGTAAAATATAATATTGTGACAGTATTGTGTCCACTATGCAGGAAATAAAGGTAACTGTTGCTTAATATAGGCGAAAAGTTTATATTTGAGATATAGCTGGAATTTTTACAATTAAAAACAATGTTCTCTAACATATAATATTAAGTATAAGTTGGACACTCATAAACATTTTGTCAATAATTTTACATTCTCATGATAAAACAGTATTTCTAACTTCATTGTGTGTATTACTATCAACATGTATTGCAAACAGTGATACTGTCTTAATATTAATTATTTCTAAAATACAATTTACCTCAGTGTATTTTCTTGTAACTTACAGGAGCCATTGGTCAAAACTGCGCTGTTATTTCTTCATAATATTGTGACTTTCCTGACACCGAGTCAAATCTCATATTTTGCTTCAGTGAGCCAGGATTTATAATTGACTCTTTAAAATTTGGAAGTGAAATAGGACAAATACACAAATAGATAAAACGAACACAAACAGTAATTAAGTAGAATATTATTGTGATATGGGACATGTTATTGTTATAAAAGATCATTTCTATGTACCTATCTTGTGATTCTTTAAAACAGTAATAATGATACAGGTGTTTTAATTATTCCTAAGTTTTCATGGACTGAAAGTGGTTGACACACTGATATTGTTCCTTTGATATTCAACACATTATTCTGAGTGTTTTATAAATGTTATCAAATGGAAAGTCTTTTTTACTTGTTGGAACAGTAATCATCAGCTCTCAAAAGTGTTTCTGCATATGTGATTTTTCTTCCAGTGTAAACACAGTGCTTACTTGCTGCTGCTGTGTCGTTAGAAGGTCTTTATAGCAGCAAGTGTCTGTGAGTCTGTGGACTTGATGTGTATAAACTTTTGGTGGAGTTGTTGGTATCCTGCCAGTGTGTTGATGGTTGGTGGACAGTAACACAGCTCAGTGGTGACGCGTTGGACTTTCATAATGATCGACCATCACAAATGATTGTTATGTTATTTTATCAGCTGATGGCCTGTTGTCACAACACTCCTGTTTCGACGATTGGTTGAGTAACAGGAAGTAAAATGATGTTTCCCACTGACACGATGCTGATCTTTTCACGAAGTCGTGTTATCTGTAGCTTTTATGGTCACTTTACTTTAATCCCTACCTGCTGAACTACGGTGATTCAGCTGATTAAGTGATCAGGCTGATTCCTATAACAAGCAGTATCAGTGATCAGAATAATTTTCATACAAAGTACAGATGTTGAAAAATTAATTTTTTCTTTTCTTTTACAGTCATCATGTTCCTTCTGGATCTTTTTCATAACAATATGAAAATATATAGCTGTCATATACTGAGACTCTTTCAAACACTAACCAAGGTGTTTGGAGACATTGTGTAATGACTTCCTGCTCTCTCTACTCCAAATGCCTAGGACCTCTATATTCATTTTTTCAATTAATTTTATTTCTACAGTGCAAATCACAGAGAAACATTATTACGGCACTTTACAGGGTAGCCAGACCTTATTTATTATAGAAAGTAAACCCAACTAATTCCCACTTATCTATCACTAAAGCACAGTTTCACGTATTTGGTTTCCCAGCTCAATTAGAAACATAATCTATAACCTGCTGACTTGTGCGAATAAATTCAAGGTCTTAAAACATGTATTATTTGCTGATGTGCAGAAATGAGTCTGAACAACGTACTACAGCATTATGAACGTTTTTACAGCGTGGTACAGCATAACATGAATGGGGTTAAAATAATTGATGTGTGTCAGTGTCATTGGTGACAGGGTGTACATTATTATTGATGTTGATTATTTCTATAATGAACATTATCTGAATGAAGTACAGAGTAAAAAACCTTCAAAGGTTTAATTTTGAACTCCAGCACAAGTTGAACTAAAGGATCAGCCAGGGATTTTTTGTGTATATTCATACAAGATGATAAAAAATGTTCCATGAGGAGAAGGAAGGAAAAGAAAATGGACTGAAGCACAGGTGGATCTGTCATAACTCTAATAAATTTCATCACATGTCATATTTGTCTTTCTGTGTTCTTTGGAATTGTAAAAAAACGTAAACTATAAAACTGCTACAATCACACAACAGATATTATACGGCCTTCCTTATTTTTGCGGCCGAAATGCCTGATGATGATGTGCTCCTGAATTTAAAACAAAAAAAAACCATTTAGTTCAAATGAATATAATGAACACATCCTTACATATATTTTTAAATAGGTCTAGAACTACTCTCACGACTATACAGTATGTTATTTACAAGAATTAAGATGGTTATGATCAAATGCTATATCACTTCTTAATATTCATTCATATCAAAGCTGTAGATCAATTGTCTGAAAGAGCTGAATTGGCTCTCCACAACATTGAATTATTTTCATTAAAAACCGATCATAGTTTTCATACACAACAAAGTGAAAGCAGGACAGCAAGTCCTAACCCAGGACACTGGTACGTAGTTAGTAAAGCTGTGTTTGTCTCCCATTTTAAAAACTGGAAGAACTGCCATTTGTCCTGGTCCCAGGTCCAGGTGTGTTCCCATTCTCTTTGGTCTCCAACCCCGTGTCTCCTCTCTCTCTCTCTCTTCTCTTTCTCTCTACTCTCTCTCTCTCTGGCTTTTCCTCTGGCTCCTCCCTGGTTCTTCTCCTGACTCACATACTCTTATCAGCCAGCAGTATTCAGCCTGGTTTCACAGTCACTCTTGGCGCAGATTATTCAGTCTACCTGAGTGATACGACAATCTAGGCCTCTCTGTAAAGGTTGTTTGGTTTTCCTCGTGATTATTTAAAACAGCAGTCTTACTCATTTTCCTTGTGCCGCGGGATTTATTTCATGCCTGTCTGCCTGCTCAGCTCCAGTTCAATTGCCGCTTCCTTGACAGATCTACAGTCCCTCCCACCTGCCTGCCCCTCTCCACATGTTCAGCCCAGCGGTCGTCCAGTTCTGTAACCTCTGCTCGCACCATTCCTTCACCGTGCCTGACCCCCACAGGGTTAGGGTTAACCCTAACTCAGCTGGAGGCTCCATGACTTATACGCATAAGCATGTAGACCCTCTGCTGTGGCTCGAGGGTTACCAACATCTTGATGTTTCTATCCTTCTCAAATAATTTCATTCTTGCAGGAAAAATTCTGTTGACTTGATTTTTCTTTGCTGAAGCTTTTCTATGTCTGTAAGTTACATAGGTTACCTGCTTAAACAAATATCTGCACTCATTCACACTGAACGTCGTCCTCTGCCAGGCAGCCTGGAGGCAGCTGCAGCAGCTTTCCTCACTTTGTGAGTTTCTGGAAATGGACTTTTACTGATCTGGTGTTCTTGTGCGCGAGTGTGGGCTCTGTCAATGTGGGGTCACTGTTAATGTTCCTGTTAGAATCAAGTAGGGTCAAAATATGGACTGTGCATCAATATTTCACACTTGAACTTATTCTGGCGTACAGGGGAAGTAAATTAAATAATGCTTTAACCGACTTGTCCCTGCACTAGATCTAAAACCATGCACATCGATTAAATCATCCTCATAGTTATGAGTTTACATTTCTTCAATATCAACAAGATTATTATTATTTCTGTTACAGCATTATACACTATAAATATACTCCGATTGTGACAGCTGGTATCGGCTTCAGCCCCCCTGACCCTATAGGATTAGTGGTATAGCTGATGGATAGAATGGACGGACAGGAGTCTCTCAAACTCGGGAAGTTTTTGATGTTACCTTAAAAAATGTTTTGAAATGAGGCAGGTGACAGCGAGTGGTCACTGTCGGACAGACTGTGAGCTTATCTGTTTGTGGGTAATTAAAACATTATCTTCAAAATATGTTTCGACGCAGAACCCAATCCTTTTATTTTTTCAGTCAGCCAAACCAGCATGGCTTCTGTTTTAAAACGAATAAATCATCAGAAGTAATTTGGTTATTTTTTAACTTTGATGTGTAAATGTGGTCGTTCAGATTTGATCAGCTCCACTTCAGGAACTTTTACTCGTCCAGGTTGAAGATCTCTCTGCTCTCGGATCAGGATGAACTCCACAATCTGGTTTCTGGTAGAAACCATGTTGCACTGCCATGTTTCGTCTGCGTCCAGCTCGGGCCACATCAAGTGGTCGGGCCAAACACGATAGGATGCCTGAGTGGACATCAGGTTTTCCTGGAAAAGGCCAAACTCTGAAAAACAGCAAAAAATCGGCTTAAGATCCACAATAACCGGCTTGCAGTGTGTTAAATTTCATGCACTAAACTATAGGGTGATAGGTGTTATTTATATATTGTTATACATAAAGAATACAGTTACAAATTAACAACCAAACATTGTGAATTTTACATCCATGTAATTACAGTTTGAGGAGGAATAGTGTTCTTTTCCCAGGGCACTGTATAATGG